GCTACCATTGGTCTTTGGAACAAAGGATCAAAGACTTTGGAGGATATCATTGGGTCTCAACAAATCTATTTTGACAAGAGTGGCATTGGATTTGGACGTAAGAAAGAGCAAAAACAGAATGCATCCACGTCTCATGATACAAGAACTCAAGGGAAGGGGGAGCACAAGATTCAACGAGAGGAAAGACTTCTAAATCTTCCTAGAGTTGGTAAGGTAAAAGCAAAGAAGGTACACCCTGTACACCTTGTTTTTATTTGTCATCATTGTGGTATGCATGGTCATATTCGCCCTTATTGTTACAAGTTGCATGAGAGAGTGTCTCATAAAGATGGAAGAAATTCTAACATCTCATGAGATAAGAGACACTTCATTGGTGGTAATGAGGTTAAGGGTCATATTAGACCTCGTTATTTTGATTTGCTTGAGACTAAACGTGAACAGAGGTTTTGTTTGTCTAGACCTAGGTATAGGAAGTTGGACACCAAGTCTAGACGGGTTCCCATTGAAGGGAAAGGGAACCGCAACGTCAAGACACCACTCAAGAACCGCAATTCTCACAACTTTTTTCATACTAAAGTGGTTTGGGTGAGAAAACTTGACTTGTGTTAATTTGTTTATTTGTTTTAGCTTTTGGGTTTCTGTGTGTTTTTTTTTAATGAGAAAAAAAAATGTATGCTTGTTCGTTTTTTGTCTTTCTTTGGTTAAGAAAAAAAATAAAAAAATAAAAAAATCCCAAAAAGATTTTCTTAGTATGGTTTTGCAAGCTTAAAATTTTTGAGTAGTCCTTGGTGCATATTGGAATTGATAAGAATATCCATTACATGTTAATATGTGTGTGCTTCCTATGGTCATTACTCATTTTGGAGTGTGTGTTTTTTGATTAGTATGTCTCATTCTGTACACACTTTTGGATTAGCAAATATCGGAGTCTTTCGCCTTAGTGATTTTTTTTTTCTATGGACTTCTGGCATTGTATCTTTTGTTTTTCGAGAGGAATTGACCTATACTAGCATATCATGGGTGATGTTGAGTCTCTTAACCATCTTCCATCTTTTTGCATCTCCATGGCTTTCCCCTTTGTTCTTTGTAGTCCAGGCATGAGGAAAAGGCTACCTCAGAGTCACCAACCAGACCATCCTTATTATATCCATGCTTCTCTGGTTCGATTTCCATACTCTTAAGCGTGTCAGCCGCCAATGAGTGTGCAAAAGAAAGAAAAAAATGTGCAAAAGAAAGAAACAAAAAAAAAAAGATGTAAAAAAGAAAGAAAAGAAAAAGATATAAAAAAAAAAATAAAAGGAAAAAATAAAAGATTCATTGATTGAAGGGGAGCCTCCGCCTTTACTCACCAAATACCCCTTGATTCCTAGTGGTTTGACTTTCCTTTGTTGTGCTTAGATTCTCTTGTCGGAGGTCCAACTTTCAGATCACTACTAGGATTGAATCTAGTGTTTGTCGAACTCCAAGAGTCACACACACATTTTTTTTCATGGGATCTATGTTTTTCACATAATGCATCACTTTCTTTCATGAGGAATCTTCTATAGACTGTGCACATTGTGTTTTCAAGTAATTGTGCTTCTTGGATAGTCTTGTGTGTTCTAAGGTACTACTCTGAAATTCCTTGCTTGCTCCACCATATTATTTTTGTCGTTTTCTTTTTGTTCATTGTTTTTAGTAAGGTGGAGTTTGGTTTATCTTTGCAAGAGTTTGTTAGCATGGACACTTTGATTTGTTTGGTAAGGGAGATTGGCTTTAGTTGTTTTGCATGTTGCTATGCACTGTTTGCTTTTTATTTCCTTTTTGCATGCCCCTGATATTTACATCATCATATCATTGCTTGTGTGGTTTATGATCTTGCTTTTGTTGTTTGAGCTTCATTTGTCAATTCGTGACAAAAAGAGGGAGAAGATTGTATTTCATGTATTCATGTCATGAGTTGGGTGCATATGTCTTAGTTTTCATCTATCCATCTATCCATGCTACATGTTCTTAAAATCTCCAAGTCGCATCTATTCATGTTTTCCATCTCATGCTTCAAATGCTTCAAGATAAACTAGCCATATGTTTATTACTTTTTCATATACTCTTGTGGGACTAATAGTTGTTTTGGAGATTGTGGCACTAATAGCTGTTTTGCAGATCATGACCTTGAAAAAGAAGTTTTTTTTTGTTGGCTGTAATGGGTTGGGGTGATTAGGATTTTATTTGTTAAGTGTGTTTTGTCACGGCATTGCCAAATGGGGAGATTGTTAGTTTTTATTCTTGGCAACCCCGTTTGACAAAACTCCTTTAAGTTGTATTTGTTTTCGCACTTTTTATTTCAATGAGACTATGAGTGTTTAGATGCGAATCCAACCCGAATTATGTCTTGCAGAGAAGTTTGTGATGTTAATGCTTTCAAGATTGTCACTTCACTGATTATGACGGGGATCGAGCTTATAATAACCCACATTCATGTCTTAGTCATGTTCATGTGCACTTGCATAACCTTGTCTTATTAAGTTTACATTCATGAATCTTATCTTGTTTTGACTAAGTGTTATGTGCATGCTTTGTTCCTTCCTTGCCGTCTCAAGCCTAAGTCATGTTAAGCCTAGGTTATTCCAAGCCGAGGTCATCCTAAGCCTAGAACCACCTTGGAACCACTTTGGTTGACCTCTACCTTCGTCCTGGCATATTGGCCGAGATGTCATTATCTAGGCCGAGGTGTGCATCACCAAGGCCGAGATGTGTATCATCTAGGCCGAGATGTTATCCTTGAACCCAAGTGATCTTACTCCTAGATTGGTACGACCTAGACCGAGGTGTGGCACATCTAGGCCAAGGTATGGCACAGCTAGGTCAAGTGTTGTCCTTCCTAGTCGAGATCACTGTCACCCTACTTGCCGACGCCTTGTTCTTAGCCGATGTCATTGCCTCGCCAGAGAGCCCATACCGCTTTACTTGTTGAACACCCTTTCGCCATGCTTTTGTCTGGTCTGTCAGCCACCTTTTGAGGGAAAACCCAACTAGCCGCCGCCACGTGTCCCAGCAGAGGGTTAAGCCCAGAATCGAGTGAGAGAACCTATCATTTGGTATCATATCCTTGCCTTTTAGAGAGAGAAGCTCTAGGAGGAAGAAGAAGTTTTAGAGTGAGAAAGTAAATCTTCGAGCTTGATTCCAAGAGATCGAACCGTTAGATTCGTGTATTGAGGTTAGATCCTTGGATGAATCTTTATCCGAAACAATAGTCACAGTGACCTTATGAAGTCAAACAATGTCCCTAATGTAAAGGTTGGCTAGATAATCTACCGAGTCACTCGTGCATATAGGTACAAAGTGTGCTGACTTGGTTAATTGATCAACCACCACCCAAATGATGTCATTACCCTATCGAGTCCTTGGAAGACCCATAACAAAATCCATCGTAATATGTTCCCACTTCCATTCTGCTATAGGCAAGGGTTGTAACAAACCCGTTGGCCTCTAATGCTCAGCCTTCCCTTGTTGACAAGTAAGGCACCTTGACACAAACATGGATACATCCTTCTTCATCCCCTTTCACTAAAACTGGCGACTAAGGTCATGGTACATCTTCGTGCCTCCAGGATGCACCACAAGGTGCAAATGGTGAAACTCTCGAAGTACTTCCTCTCGGCAAGACTCCGATACAAGTAAATGATAACGATATCTCACACTCAGGTCGGGATACAAAGTCAAACCTCTTTCTACCTTCCCATTGAAAATCTTCTCTCGGAAAGATTCTACCTCAAGATCACCCCTCGGTGCTTTCAACACTCAATTCATAAGTGTAGGTTGTACGACTACTAAAAACAAAGCTGCAGATTCCATAGACTCGCTCAGATGCAAGTCAAACTCATTAAAAGTACCCAACATTTCCCATTCTCGGATGGCGATAGAAGCTACACTGTTAATTGGCTTCCTACTCAAAGCATCGCCACAACATTGGCCTTCCCGGGATGGTAATGCAACTTAAAGTCATAATCCTCTATGAATTCCATCCACCTCCTCTGTCTCAAATTCAAGTCTTTTGTATAAACAGATACTTCAAACTCTTATGATCAGAGAACACCTCAAATTTCTTACCATACAGATAATGCCTCCAAATTTTCAAGGCAAATATCACTGCCGCTAAGGGACTATAATGCAACTGCACCCTTGTCTTGGAATGTCATCGCCCCATGTATTATGTAGATGTTATTAACATCCAAGGAACTTGAAAGATCGGCAAACGAACTTGATTTTCCCCCCCTTGATTGTAAAGTATGCTATTTTAGTTTTTGGAAGAGATCTTGGATATCAATCATGCAAAACCTTTATTTCTAATATCATTCACTGAGTATCCAAGCTCACCCTCTCTATATATATGTGTAGGTGATGAGCAAGAAGGCATTGAGGCCTAGATGTGTTGCCGATATGTTTCGGGTGCATTGCCGACGTGTTTTGGATTCGCATTTTGTAACATCTTGAAGATCATGCTTCTTAGCTTATATTTCATGTGTATTTGTATATGTCGGCTTGAGAAGCCTTTTGGTCAAGATGTATTTTGTTTCTCATTTCCTTATTGTATCTAAGTTGTAAGACTTTGTAAAGATGTATGTCATTTCATTGGACTTATGCACGGCTCTCATGGACTACTTAGATTCAATATATATTGCTTCCGCACTTGTAAGCCCCATATTTTATACTCTGATTGTGTGTGATCCTTGTGAGTTGGCCTTCGGTAATCTTGGATTACTGGCCGTCACGGCACCATTCTACTAGGGGCGGTTTAGGGTCGTGACAGATTGGTATCAGAGCCCGCATTCCTTATAGTTCGTTAATCACACACCTTGAGTCCTAAAGAGCATAGGATTTCCCTTAGAATGATGTTAGGATTGCATCATATTGTTTGCTACTTGGCTATGTGCGCATCATTTCGGCATGCACATTTGTTACTTGTATACGTATTATCTGTTCGGTTGTTTTAAAGTCACATTTTACATCCTCCTAGCGTCATGAGGAGAGGTAGACCTCCAGTTGGCCGAGATCATTCCGAAGATAGATTGGAGAGACTGGAAAGGTTAGTCGAAGGCTTGGTTCGTGAGCTGAGACAACCTAGGCCACAGGATACTGGTACCACTTCCACGCAGGCCGAGCAGACGAATGGCCGATATACAGCTTCACCTCCTCCAGTGCCGCAAGGGCCTCCACAGCAAGCTTTGTATGGAAACGACACGATAACCCTGATCAGAGAGTTCAAGAAAATGAAACCGCCGAGATTCCAAGGAGGTATAGAACCAATAAAAATCGAGGCATGGGTTTTAGAAATGGAGAAGTTGTTTGAAATCTTCCCCAGTACAGACGCCCAGAAGGTATCTCTGGCAGCCTTCACATTAGACGACGACGCTCGCAGGTGGTGGATGATGGTCCGAGAAAGTAATCCGGGTTTGACTTGGGCCAGATTTTTGGAGTTGTTCTACAACAAACATTTCCCCCTTAGCGTCCGAGATCGAAAGACCACGGAGTTCCAGAATCTGATACAAGGGAACAAGATAGTGGCAGAATACGATCGTGCCTTTACTGAATTGGCGAGGTATGCGCCTCACATGATTGATGACGAATACCAGAAGGTGAGAAAGTTCGAAAGTGGGTTGCGTGGACCGATACAAGATCGGGTCAACATGCTCAATATGCCGACGTGCGCCGGAGTACTAGACAAGGCCATCCTGGCTGAAGCTAACTTGAACCGATACCAGGGTTCAGGTGAGAGTCAGAGGAAGAGACAGAATTATGATAATCGCCGTGTTCCATTCAATGCCAAGAAGAAGATAAATATGGGCAGTTCTAACAACTCAAATCAGGAAGGTAATGTTAAGCCGACGTGTACGAGTTGTGGAAAGCTACATTTTGGGGTCTGTCGTTAGGCAACAGGGGCTTGCTACGAGTGTGGCGAGATAGGTCATCGTGTGAAGGACTGCCCAAAAGCAAAGGCTGACGACGGAAAGAGGAATGGAAGCACCTCGGGCCCTGCACAGAAGAACAACATCGGGAGAATACAGGTGAGGCAGGGCAGAGTTTTTGCATTAGTACCAGGAGACGCCCAGAGTGCCGAGGCGGTAGTGTCAGGTACCCTTCCAATTTGTTCTCAAGATGCATACGTATTGATTGATTCGGGTTCTACGCATTCATTTGTGTCTGCTATATTCGCCGAGAAGTTGAATAGGAAATTAGAACCCCTTGATTATGTATTATCTGTGTCTACTCCATCTGGGAGAAATATGATTGTTGCATCCATTTATAGGGCGTGTATTGTTGTGATTGAGGGTACAGAGTTGTTAGTTGATTTGATGCCATTAAGCATGACTCACTTCGATGTCATATTGGGAATGGATTGGTTAGTAGCGAATCATGCATCCATTAATTGTGTTACTAAGAGCGTCACATTGAAGACCCCAAGCCAAGCCGAGGTCATTTTCCAGGGTAAAGGAGTAGTACCCCCACCTTACTTAATCTCATCCATGAAAGCCTATAAGTTGATCCAAAAAGGGTGTCAGGGTTATTTGTGCAGTATACTAAGTGATTTGAATGGAAGTGTTGAGTTAGCCGACATACCAGTTGTTAAGGAATTCCCCGACGTCTTTCCAAATGAGTTGCCTGGCCACTTAGATGATAGAGAAATAGAGTTTACTATAGACCTCGTGTCGGGAACGCAACCTATCTAGCGGCCAGCTACTCGGAGGCTACTGGCGGGCTTGGGAGGTACATTTCTTCTCCGCTTTTTTCATTTCTGTCTCGTACTTTCTGTACTTTGCATTGACTACAGAGAACTTAATAAGGTGACCATTAAGAACAAGTACCCATTGCCTAGGATTGATGATTTGCTTGATCAACTACGAGGAGCACGAGTCTTTTCCAAGATTGAACTTAGGTCGGGCTACCATCAGTTGAAGGTTAAAGCCGAGGACATTGAGAAGACTGCTTTTCGGACAAGATATGGCCACTACAAATTTTTGGTAATGCCCTTCGGAGTGACCAATGCCCCAGCAGCATTCATGGACTTGATGAATAAAGTCTTTAAGCCGTATCTAGATGAGTTCGTAATTATTTTTATTGACGACATATTGATCTATTCCAAGAGTACGAGTGAGCACGAGAATCATCTGAGACTTGCCCTGCAAATCTTGAGAGATAAGAAGTTGTACGCCAAGTTGAGTAAATGCGAGTTTTGGCTTTTTCAACATTTCATTTTTAGGGCATGTGATTAATGAAGAGGGTATATCAGTTGACCCCAATAAGATTGAAGCCATTGTGAATTGGCCGACGCCGACCAACGTGTCCGAGGTTCGTAGTTTTCTGGGCTTGGCAGGTTATTACAGAAAGTTTGTAAAGGACTTCTCGAGGATTGCAGTACCATTGACACAACTAACTAAGAAGGGAGCAGCATATGAATGGACCAATGATAGGGAATCAGCCTTCCAGGAGTTGAAGATGAGGTTAGTTACAGCACCAGTTCTTGTACTTCCATCAGGTAATGAGGAATTTCAAATTTACAGTGATGCTTCACATAAGGGTTTGGGTTGCGTGTTAATGCAAGAAGGTAAAGTCATAGCATACGCATCTCGTCAGTTGAAGCCCAATGAAAAGAACTATCCTACCCATGACTTGGAGCTGGCTGCCGTGGTTTTTGCTTTGAAGGTATGGCGTCATTACTTGTATGGAACTTCTTGCCAAGTTTTCACAAACCACAAGAGTCTGAAGTACTTGTTCACTCAAAAAGAGTTAAATATGAGGCAGAGGAGATGGCTTGAGCTATTGAAGGACTATGACATGCAGATTCAATATCATCCAGGTAAGGCAAACTCCGTAGCCGACGCATTGAGCCGGAAGTTAGTTGGAAGTTTGGCGTGCCTGACAATGATTTCAGTGGAACCGACCATTATTGAGGAAGTGAAGACCAGACAGATGGAGGATAAATTCCTCAAGAAGGTAATTGATGAATTCGTCACCAAGCTGAGGCCAGGATACACCATTGAAAGTCAAGTGCTTAAGTTTGAAGGAAGATTGTGCGTGGCCGACGTCCCAGAGTTCAAAAGGAAGATTTTGCAGGAGGCCCATAACTCCAAGTTTGCCATTCATCCAGGGAGCACCAAGATGTATCAAGATGTAAAGCGGACTTTTTGGTGGCCAAACATGAAAAGAGAGATAGCCGAGTTTGTATTTCAGTGTCTGTGTTGTCAGCAAGTGAAGGCAGAACACCAGAGACCGGCAGGACTTCTTCAACCCTTGTCAATTCCTGAGTGGAAATGGGAACACATCTCCATGGATTTCGTGGTAGGTTTGCCGAGGACGCAAAAAGGTATGAACTCAATTTGGGTCATAGTTGATAGATTTACTAAGTCAGCACACTTTTTGCCTGTCAAGACTACATTCAATGCTGACCGACTTGCTGAATCGTATATGAATGAGATAGTTAGGCTTCATGGCGTGCCGATATCCATTGTGTCAGACCAAGATCCAAAGTTCGTTTCTAGATTTTGGCAGAGTCTACAAGGAGCCTTGGGAACCGAGTTGAGATTTAGCACAGCCTTTTACCCCCAGACCGACGGGCAAACGGAAAGAACGATTCAGACACTCGAAGATATGCTCAGACTGTGTGTATTGGATTTCCAAGGAAGTTGGGAATCGCATTTTCCATTAGTGGAGTTCGCATACAACAACAGTTACCAAGCCAGCATTAGCATGGCGCCGTATGAAGCTTTGTATGGAAGGGAGTGCAGATCGCCGATATGTTGGACTGAGGTAGGAGACAAAGCTCTAATTGGCCTTGAGTTGGTTCAAATGACAATTGAAAAGATTAAACTCATTCAGCAGAGGATTAAAACCGCACAGAGTCGACAGAAGAGTTATGCCGACCAGAGAATGAGGGAGTTAGAATTTGAAATTGAGGATCGTGTATTTTTGAAGGTCTCATCGATGACAGGAGTTTCGAGATTTGGGAAGAAGGGTAAACTAGCACCCCAATATATTGGGCCATTTGAAATTCTTGAGAGAGTTAACATCGTTGCTTACAGACTTGCTCTGCCGCCAGATTTGAGTCAAGTCCACAACGTGTTCCATGTTTCGATGTTGAGGAAATATATCCGAGACCCACTACATGTAATAGATTATTCCGAGGTTGTAGTTAATGAAGACCTAGGCTACGAGGAGAAGCCGATGAGAATTATTGACAGACAAATGAGACAGTTGAGGAATAAGTCGATACCGATGGTAAAAATCGAATGGGAGGAGCATTATGGCAAGGAGGCCACGTGGGAAAAGGAAGAGGAAATGAAAATCCGTTATCCGGAGTTATTCGTAGAGCAAGGTAACTTGAGTTTGGGGACCAAACTTCTTTAAGGAGGGTAAACTGTAATAACCCACATTCATGTCTTAGTCATGTTCATGTGCACTTGCATAACCTTGTCTTATTAAGTTTACATTCATGAATCTTATCTTGTTTTGACTAAGTGTTATGTGCATGCTTTGTTCCTTCCTTGCCGTCTCAAGCCTAAGTCATGTTAAGCCTAGGTTATTCCAAGCCGAGGTCATCCTAAGCCTAGAACCACCTTGGAACCACTTTGGTTAACCTCTACCTTCGTCCTGGCATATTGGTCGAGATGTCATTATCTAGGCCGAGGTGTGCATCACCAAGGCCGAGATGTGTATCATCTAGGCTGAGATGTTATCCTTGAACCCAAGTGATCTTACTCCTAGATTGGTACGACCTAGACCGAGGTGTGGCACATCTAGGCCAAGGTGTGGCACAACTAGGTCAAGTGTTGTCCTTCCTAGCCGAGATCACTGTCACCCTACTTGCCGACGCCTTGTTCTTAGCCGATGTCATTGCCTCGCCAGAGAGCCCATACCGCTTTATTTGTTGAACACCCTTTCGCCATGCTTTTGTCTGGTCTGTCAGCCACCTTTTGAGGGAAAACCCAACCAGTCGCCGCCATGTGTCCTAGCAGAGGGTTAAGCCCAGAACCGAGTGAGAGAACCTATCATTTGGTATCATATCCTTGCCTTTTAGAGAGAGAAGCTCTAGGAGGAAGAAGAAGTTTTAGAGTGAGAAAATAAATCTTCGAGCTTGATTCCAAGAGATCGAACCGTTAGATTCGTGTATTGAGGTTAGATCCTTGGCTTACTCTTGTTGTTCTTTGTGCCTATCTAGCTACATTGCACGATCGAACCTGTTCTGCACGACATGCATTGATTTGAAGCTGGTTTTTAGAAAGAGAAAATAGTACTCATGTGTTCTTGAAGAAAAAGTCTTGTTTTGATCCGAAAGTTTGCATTGAGAATCATGTTTTTGTGTTTGTTTTCGCAAGAACTTCAAGTATGGGTACCCAAGTCCATGTTTTCGAACTCGTAGCATGAAAAATCCCAGATTTTGTGATAACAGGTTGTGATTGAGCATTCACATTTTTCATGTTCTTCATGTTCATCAGCAGAGGGAAACCCAGATTTTCCCCGGCTTCTTTTCCTTGAATGTGGCCCTCGGGAACACACCTCGGCGAGGAGGTGTGGAACCTCGGCCTAGACCTGGTTGGTACCCAGCATATTTTTCCGAGATCATTTGTATACATATGAAGCTTGTTTGAAAGTGCATTCAATAGGCTTTGCCATGTGTTTGTAGGACTTGGGCTTGTCTTGACCCCGACGTTTGAAGAACTATGTGAGTGGTATTTTTAATAAAGTTATGTTATACGTTTGGATAAGCTTTGCTTTGCTTTGTTTTGAAAAGTATTTGATTTAGCATGAATGATTATCCTTATTTGTATATCAAGCACTATCTTGTTTTGATGACATGTCTTGAAAGTCCTTAGTGCCAGGGGACTATAATGCAACTGCACTCTTGTCTTGAAAGTCCTTAATGCCAGGGGACTAT